TAAAAAAAAAAAAAAAAAAGAATAAAAAGAATAATAATAATATTTAAATAAAATAGACTAAATAATAACTAAATAAAATACAATAAATAAATAGATAAAGTAAAATAAATAAATAAATAAATAAATAAATAAATAAATAAATAAATAAATAAAATAAAATAAATAAAATAAATAAATAAAAAAAAAAGAATAAAAAAAAAAAAGCCAATTCAAGCAGCAACAGAGGCCTACTAGTACCCCTTTATCTGCAGCAGCAGCAGCAGCAGCAAAAAACAAAAAAAAAATCTGCTGCTGCTGCAGTTGCTGTTGCTGCTGCTGCTGCTGTTTTTAATTGGGCTGTACATACAGCTAAAGCAAAAGAAAGGGAAAACATAACGGCGCCTACAGCGCCCTAGGGTTTAGGGTTTAGGGTTTGGTGTAGAGGTGCAGGGAGAGGTTTTGCTTCTTATTGTCTCATGGCTTCTTATGAACTCGTAAACAAACAGCCTACATCTAGGGTTTAGGGTTTAGGGTTTAGGGTTTACATCTAGGGTTTAGGGTTTAGGGTTTAGGGTTTGTGGCGCTGTGGGTGTTTTGTAGTTGTTTATATATAGATATATTTCTATTTTTTTCCTTTTCCCCCTTTTATTTATTTTATTTATTTATTTATTTATTTATTTTATGTATTTATTTATTTATTTATTATTCTTTTTTTTTGTTGCCTTTTTTTTTTGCTGCTCTTCTTTCCTTGAGCTGCAGCAGCTGCAGCTCTGCTGCAGCAATTGTTAGTTTTGCTTTTAATACCCAGGACTCAACAGCAGCAAGCTGCAGCAGCTCGCTGCCTCCTATTTTACCTCTTCCTGCTGCTGCTGCTGCTGCTGCTGCTGTTGCTGTTGCTGCTGGGGGTACTGCTGCTGCTGCTGCTGTTGCTGCTGATGTATCCCTTAATGGCCATACAGACGGCAGCACTCTGCCGCAACTGTCTAAGACACGCTGCAGCTGCTGCTGCTGTTGCTGTTGCTGCAGCTGCTGCAGCAACAGCTGCTGCTGCTGCTGCTGCTGCTGCAGTCCAAGTTGTGCTGCTGTGCTGTATGGTAATGGGCCGGTTGGCTGTGGTGGCTCGGGGCCTCCTCTGCCTCTAGCAGCAGCAGCAGCTGCAGCAGCAGCAGCAGCAGCAACAGCAGCAGCAACAGAAGCATCTCCAGAGAGAGATTTCTTTGCTCTGTTTGCTGCTGCTTCTGCTGCTGCTCCTATTTGCCGCTGCTGCTTCTTCCCCTCAGCAGCAGCAGCAGCAGGAGCAGCAGCAGCAGCACGTTGTACAGATTCTGCTTCGGATACATCAGACACAGAAGCAGCAGCAGCAGCAGCAGCAGCAGAAGGCTGCTTAGGGGATGTGGTGTCTTTCTGCTGCTTCTTCTGCTTCTGCTGCTCCTGTTGCTCCTGTTGCTGCTGTTGCTGTTGCTGCTGCAGTTGCTGCTGCTGCTGCTGCTGCTGCTGCTGCTGCTGCTGCTGCTGCTCTGCTGCTGCAGCAAGAAGCCTCTGCCTTAGATGCTCTAATTCTTCCTCTAACTTCCATTTAACTCTATCGTCGTGCTGCTGCCGCTGCTCCTGTAGCTGCTGCTGCTGCTGCTGCAGCAGCTGCAGTTGCTGCTGCTGCTGCTGCACTTGTTGTAGCTGAGCAAATAAAGATTGTTGATCCCTAAGTACTTCTTGCTGCTGCTGCTGCTGTTGCTGTTGCTGCGCCTTTAAGGTGTCTATACACTCCATGCTGCTCTTATCTGCTGTGTCTCTTTGCTGCTTCCATTCAGCTAGCTGCTGCTGCAGCTGCTGCAGCTGCTGCAGCCGCTGCTGCTGCACTTCCTCTAGCTGCTTCCTCCATAGCTGGTGCTGGCTCTCATGCTGCTTGTACTCGTCCCAGTGTTGCTGCTGCTGCAGTTGCTGCTGCTGCTGTTGCTGCTGCTGCTGCGCTTGCTGTGCTAGGAGAGCAGAGACATCAGCAGCTTGCTGCTGCTGCAGTGCTGCTGTCTCCTCAGCTAGCTGCTTCTCCTTCTGCAGCAGCAGCTGCTGCTGTCTCCCTAACTCTAATACATCCAGCAGCTCCTGCTGCAGTTGCTGCAGTGTTGCTGTTTGCTTCTCTGTTGTCTTGGCTAGCTGCTGCTGCTGCTCAGCTAGCTGCTTATATTGCAGAGACACCGCATCTAGCTGCTTCTGCTGCTGCTGCTGCTGCTCCTTCTGCTTCTGCTGCTCACTCTTTAGCTGCGCATGCTGCTGCTGCTGCTGCTGCTGCTGCGAGCGTAACTCCTCGGCAGTTTTAGACGTACGTTTGTCCTGCAGCAACAGCAGCAACAGCAGCAACAGCAGCAGCAACAGCAACAGCAGCAGCAAAAATTTACACCTCGGTTGATCCCTCTAGACAACAGCTAATGCAGCAGCAGCAACAGCAGCAGCAACAGCAGCAGCAACAGCAACACAAGCAGCAACAAGCACAGCAGCAGCTGCTGCAACAACAGTAACCAACCAA